GATCGACACCAGGCACCGCACCGTGCCCCACGGAGGAGCCCTCCGCCGGAGCCTTAGGGCCCCCGCCAATCTGAACATGGGCTGAAGCTCCCCGACGCCCATCCTTAGATAACACGACCACCAGGGGCAACCGCCCACGAAGGGGAGCCACCGGCAGGGGGCACAACTTCCAACACGGAAGACACCACAGAAGACACCACGGCGACGTCAACGCCCTCATCCTCCATTGCATCACGGTCCTCCGCCCACAACCGTCGAGGCGACGCAGCCCGAGCTGAACGACGGCGCTTAACATGAGGCTGCTGTTCGTCGGAACTATGACCCCCAGCAAGGGGCGCCCCAGAAGAACCCGTCGCGGGCGGCCCCATAGCCGAGGCAGTACGCCCACGCACAACAGAAGCCTCCACAGCACGGGGCACAAGTCCACCACCACGCCCGGAGACTGAAGACGGTATCCTGGTTGAGATGGTAGTGTGGGTGTGTGCGCGCGCCTGAGCAATCCAGTGACACGAGTTCAATCCCATTGTACGGCCTCATTATTTTCCTCACATAAAAGTCGCCTGAAGAATGCATTAAACTACAGGTAGCGAGGCTCACAAAAGCTGCGGCATAAACAGCCTAGTTTACTGCTGCAAGCATCGTTGGCCTCAGTGGACCCGTGTTCACCGCTCATCCCCAGGAAACACACAACGTAACCACAACCTTCTTAAGATAATTACGTTGTTACAGCGTTGTACCAACGTAACAATGGTTAAAATAACGTTGTTGATAGGTTGTGTTTGGGGCTGGATGCTCCTCTACGGGCCGCGTTCGATGGCCTTTGTCGTATTCCATCATGCATCGTCACATTGGAGGGAGGAGAATGTACAGTACAAAATGTGCACCATTACCGCTCTTGTGTTGCTGGAGAGTAACACATATGACATAGTCCCGCCCGCGCCGGACCTGTATCATATTTTTATTTGTTGCTGTTTGAAATGTTTTAATTGGTCGTTTACCTTTTGAACCACAAAATAAATTGGATTGGTTTTATATCCTCGACGGCTATACCTTCTCTAATGGCCTCTATGGGTACAGGAAGCCCTGAGGGCCACCTTCTCTAGTGGTCTGTACGGGGACAGGATACCCTAGGGCCACCTACTCTAGGGGGGCCTCTATGGGAACAGGATGCCCTGAGGCCCACCTTCTCTAGTGGCCTCTACGGAAACAAGGACAGGCTACTCTGTTGTTTTTCCTGACCACACCTATATTTGTCGCCTGTCTCCTGAGACTAGCATCTTTATGGCAGAACTTTATGCTATTTTGTATCCCTTCAACTGCTTTCTCGCTGTCAATCATCGTTGTCGTTGTAGTTGACTCTCGTAGTGCCCTCATGGCTCTCAACTATCCTCATCCGGTGGTAGTCGAAATTCAACACTGGTTATTTCTTATCTCTAGCAGGTTTAAGACAGTCGAGTTTGGTGGGTTCCCAGTATATTGTGCTTCTTTAAATAATCGTGCTGACGCTGCCAACAAGGAGGCAATCCGCACTTGTCCCATCTCCAGTAAAGGTGTTTCTTATTCCGACTTTTTCCTAGTTATTTATTTCTCAATTCTTGCCCGTTGGCAAAGTTGTTGGTCTTCTGTTACTGGTAACAAACTGCGTACTCTTAAGAGTAGTGTGTCCCCATGGCCTTCCTCCTACCACCGTAACCGGCGGTGGGAAACAGCTCAGGCAAGGTTACGTATTGGCCATACACGCTTAACTCACGGTTACTTAATGGAGCGCCGCCCTGCACCTTATTGTCCAAACAGCATTGTTCCTCTTACGGTGGTGCATATCCTTGTTGAATGTCGGACTTACAGGACGAGTGTGTGTCGTGCTTCCCGACCGTCCCTCGCGGTCACTTAATTTGTCCCTCGATAAAATTCTTGGTGAATCAGGTACCTTTGATATCATTCGCCTTGGCATCGATAGGTTAGGTAGGTTGCTAGGGTTCGTACATTTCTGGTTAGGTAAAACATTTGCATTTTTACAAGAGTGGTAAATGGAGAAGATGGTGCAATGTGTAGTGTTCTCGCAGCCCACCGAGCAACACCCAACTGAGCACGAGAGCACTCACTGGTAACTACCAGCACCAGGCAGATATCTAACGATCTTCTTGAATTTTACGTCCATTTGAGATGGATGCCAAGATCCAACCCGTTCTCGCAAATTTAATAAGTCAATATTGACTTATTAAATATGTGCATAGGTGACATACTTAACATAAGTATTCATTACCTAACCTACTTAGTATGTTAAGATAAGCATCTTATTGCTTCGTAATTACAATTATTACCTAACCTATACCTATAATAGGTTAAGTAACAATTGTAATTATGAAGCTATAAGATGCTTATTTTAACATACTAAGTAGGTTAGGTAAGGTCGGTGTTTTCTATGAAGCTTTTCAAGGGAAACTATTATGTTTAGTATGTCACCTATGCACGCAACTAATAAGTCAATATTGACTTATTAAATTTGCGAGAACGGGTTGCAAGATGTAACAAGGCTAGTGACCCACGGACAGTTCAGCCTATCCTCAAGCTGTGTTCGTCCAAGCAGTTGCCGACCCTGACTCCTCCTCAGACTATCCTCGTCCAAGTTGCGGTCTACTCTACAGACGCATTCATAAATTTTAACGAACTGTGTATACACAATGATTACTTTTTACATATAAATTAATATCTTAATAAAAGAAAATGTTTGTCCGAGGCTGGAGACCAGACGCTCGCGGCTAGCCTCACGCAACACTCCATGATAACATGGGCATTATTTAGTGTTCCGGTTACGTGTTTGCTGTGAACTTATAGTAATCAAGTGAACAATTTCTCTGATGGCTACAGACACGGTAGTTAAGGTTGTGGTGGAACACCAGCAAGACCAGCGTGGGCTGGCTGGCAGGCCCAGACACTCTGCCTTTTAAGACAACTTTCTCGCGTTTATATTCTACAGGTCACGTCTTGACAACTGCTGTCACTGGTTGAAGGTTTGGTGGGCGTGGTCGTGGGTATGATATGAGGGTGGTGGGCGTGGTGGCCATGTAGCGGGCGTGGTGGCCATGGTAGCGGGCGTGGTGGCCATGTTAGCGGGCGTGGTGGCCATGTTAGCGGGCGTGGTGGCCATGGTAGGGGCGTGGTGGCCATGGTAGGGGCGTGGTGGCCATGGTAGGGGCGTGGTGGCCATGGTAGGGGCGTAGGCGTGGTGGCCATGGTAGGGGCGTGGTGGCCATGGTAGCGGGCGTGGTGGCCATGGTAGCGGGCGTGGTGGCCATGGTAGCGGTCGTGGTGGCCATGGTAGGGGCGTGGTGGCCATGGTAGGGGCGTGGTGGCCATGGTAGGGGCGTGGTGGCCATGGTAGGGGCGTGGTGCCATGGTAGCGGGCGTGGTGGCCATGGTAGCGGGCGTGGTGGCCATGGTAGGGGCGTGGTGGCCATTGTAGCGGGCGTGGTGGCCATGGTAGCGGGCGTGGTGGCCATGGTAGGGGCGTGGTGGCCATGGTAGGGGCGTGGTGGCCATGGTAGGGGCGTGGTGGCCATGTTAGCGGGCGTGGTGGCCATGGTAGGGGCGTGGTGGCCATGGTAGCGGGCGTGGTGGCCATGGTAGCGGGCGTGGTGGCCATGGTAGGGGCGTGGTGGCCATGGTAGCGGGCGGGTGGCCATGGTAGCGTGGCGTGGTGGCCATGGTAGGGGCGTGGTGGCATGGTAGCGGGCGTGGTGGCCATGGTAGGGGCGTGGTGGCCATGGTAGGGGCGTGGTGGCCATGGTAGGGGCGTGGTGGCCATGGTAGGGGCGTGGTGGCCATGGTAGGGGCGTGGTGGCCATGGTAGGGGCGTGGTGGCCATGGTAGCGGGCGTGGTGGCCATGGTAGCGGGCGTGGTGGCCATGGTAGCGGTCGTGGTGGCCATGGTAGGGGCGTGGTGGCCATGGTAGGGGCGTGTGGCCATGGTAGGGGCGTGGTGGCCATGGTAGGGGCGTGGTGGCCATGGTAGCGGGCGTGGTGGCCATGGTAGCGGGGCGTGGTGGCCATGGTAGGGGCGTGGTGGCCATTGTAGCGGGCGTGGTGGCCATGGTAGCGGGGCGTGGTGGCCATGGTAGGGGCGTGGTGGCCATGGTAGGGGCGTGGTGGCCATGGTAGGGGCGTGGTGGCCATGTTAGCGGGCGTGGTGGCCATGGTAGGGGCGTGGTGGCCATGGTAGCGGGCGTGTGTGGCCATGGTAGCGGGCGTGTGGTGGCCATGGTAGGGGCGTGGTGGCCATGGTAGCGGGCATGGTAGCGGGCGGGTGGCCATGGTAGGGGCGTGGTGGCATGGTAGCGGGCGTGGTGGCCATGGTAGGGGCGTGTGTGGCCATGGTAGGGACGTGTAGGGGCGTGGTGGCCATGGTAGCGGGCGTGGTGGCCATGGTAGGGGCGTGGTGGGCCATGGTAGGGGCGTGTGGCCATGGTAGGGGCGTGGTGGCCATGGTAGGGGCGTGGTGGCCATGGTAGGGGCGTGGTGGCCATGGTAGGGGCGTGGTGGCCATGGTAGGGGCGTGGTGGCCATGGTAGCGGCATGGTAGGGGCGTGGTGGCCATGGTAGGGGCGTGGTGGCCATGGTAGGGGCGTGGTGGCCATGGTAGGGGCTGCGTGGTGGCCATGGTAGGGGCGTGGTGGCCATGGTAGGGCGTGGTGGCCATGGTAGGGGCGTGGTGGCCATGGTAGGGGCGTGGTGGCCATGGTTGTGGGCGTGGTGATCGTCGTATTGGTATAGTGGCCATAAAAAGATACAAAAATGTATAAACAAATTTCGATGAACATAAGAGTCAGGGCCAAGATGACTAACCTGTGAGCGTACACACATCAAACCTCGTTACAATCCACTACTTTTGTTAGAGTTTCCAAAATAGCCAAAAGCGACGTACTGCAGAAAGCAATCATTGCTCACCTGAAAACAGGAGTTTATATAGTTTTGAAGAAGAACAAATTAAATCATCCGCTTACCTTGTGAGCATATGAGGAGGAGGACGACTCGAAGGGTCTCTGAGAGACGAGCTACGAGCTCCATGACTCAAGGTGGACCAGACCTCGGCACTCGAGGAGCAGGAGCAGTCCTTCAAGATGGACCAGACCTCGGCACTCGAGGAGCAGGAGCAGTCCTTCAAGATGGACCAGACCTCAGCACTCGAGGAGCAGGAGCAGTCCTTCAAGATGGACCTGATCTCGGCACTCGAGGAGCAGGAGCAGTCCTTCAAGATGGACCAGACCTCGGCACTCGAGGAGCAGGAGCAGTCCTTCAAGATGGACCAGACCTCAGCACTCGAGGAGCAGGAGCATTCCTTCAAGATGGACCAGACCTCGGCACTCGAGGAGCAGCAATAGTCCTCTCAAGTCAGTGGATAAGCACTGGCTCTTTACCTAGTGTAAAAACAGAGGTTCACGGGAGAGAAGAGAAGTATGGCGACTAACGCAGTTGTCTCCCAAAGAGATTAAGTCGTTCCTCGTGTTCCTTCAGAGGGAAGATGAAGGCACCATTTGTCAAGATTTCTCTATACTATAAATTCTTCACTATTCTTCGCTGTGATATAAATTATTGAATGTTCTTCGCAATTATGTAAATTCTTTACTGTTCTTTGCTATATAAATACTTAACTGTGATATAACTTCTTCACTGTTAGTTGCTATGATATATGATCTTCACTGTTCTTCTCTACAATATAAATTCTTAAATTGTTCACTAGAACGTGACGTTTCTGAGCTGCATCAGCTGTTAGTCGCACACTTTAACAGTTAACACACGTGTTGACAGCTGCTGCTTTTACAGGTGTTAATAACGCCACTGTGAATACAGGTGTTGATGACGTCATCACTCACCTTCTCTTTTTTAATCTCATTTTCTTGTTTTCTCTGTTTGTAGTTTTTGTTTGTCAGTTTGCTGTTTGTTCGTTTGCCCGGATGTTTCTCGTGCATATTTTAATGTGACTCTGTCATTTATCCACATATGTCGCTCCGTCCTGACATGTGTTCTATTGTTGGGAGTGTGAGATATCAAATCTCTAAAAATTCATAGCAAGATAACAATTCATAGCAAGATAACAAGTTTATAGTGTTCAGTCTTCTTACTACGGCCAATCTTCTCCTCGGAGATATGTCTGTCTCCTAAGCACTCGGGCGTCTTAGACACACCTTCATCCTGAAAATGAAAAGAAAGTGATTATAAGATGTAATCCATAATATCATTGGCTTGGAGAACAGGAGAGTTGAACTGTGGCCTCAAAAGTAGGAGACTGTTGTCCTACCAACCAGGCCATGAGTGCCCACAATAAGGAAGGCTCTCTGAGGTACCTAACTGGTACCCAACTGAGACTTTAAGCCTTCCCCTGGAGCACCACTTAGGTGCCTGGAGACATCCCCAGTATCCTTGTCAGATAAGATACAAGCCACAATAGCGTGGGTGTTACATTTTAATTCACTTAGATCACTGGAAATTTAAACTCTGGCCTCGAAAGAAAGGGATTATATACTAAATGTGAAATATTATATATGCTTGTAAACACCATAATTCCCATTGTCGGGGACAGAATGCCTGTATATAGGTCTATCGAAGTCTCATTTGGCTACCTACTGATCTGCAGGAAGCAACCCACAACAGTTGCCTTACTCCCGGGTACCGAAACGGTCAGGGTAAAGCTGGATCCTAAATTTGTATTCTGTTGACATGGAACAAACTTTAAATGATAAAATACTGAAAGCCATACGGTGGGATCGAACCCGGGTCCCTGGACTCCCCAGGCGCACATGTGTGCTCAACATGGTACTCGTGCCCGGGGCGTCTAGGGCGGCAGGTTCGATCCCATCGTATGGCCTCGATATTTCCTCCCGGGTACATCACGTTCTTGGGAGTTCATTGTGCAAAACTTACAATGTTTGTTGAAGAGGAAGGTGAGTCCTGCGGCGCCGCTCAGCGGGCCAATAATGGCACCATTTTTAGTTAGCTTATATAAACAAGACTTTGTGGATATATATGATGTTAGTGGTGTGGTTCAAAATATTTATCGGAGGAGGAGAGAGAGAGAGAGAGAGAGAGAGAGAGAGAGGAGGAGAGAGAGAGAGGAGAAGAGAGAGAGAGAGAGAGAGAGAGAGAGAGAGAGGAGAGAGAGAGAGAGAGAGAGGAGAGAGAGAGAGAGAGAGAGAGAGAGAGAGAGAGAGAGAGAGAGAGAGAGAGAGAGAGAGAGAGAGAGAGAGAGAGAGAGAGAGAGAGAGAGAGGAACACAGCTTACAACTGCAGCTGGAGAATATCGTCCACCTGGTGGTGTCTGTGAGGGGGGGGGGGGGGGGGCAGGGGGCCAGAATAGTATTACAAAAGTTGAGACGACTGTCTTAGACAAGTGCAGCACACGACTACCGGTTCTGGCAGCACTCACCAGTCCTCACTCAGGACCTGCTGTGTTCATCCAGGTGTCACGCTAAAGACTATCAAGCCAACAGTCTTCATGCTAAGGTC